TGTTGTTGCTGTTGCTGCTGCTGTTGTTGTTGTTGTTGCTGTTGTTGTTGCTGCTGTTGTTGTTGTTGTTGTTGTTGCTGCTGCTGTTGTTGCTACTTGCTGCTGTTGCTGCTGTTGTTGTTGTTGTTGCTGCTGCTGCTGTTGCTGTTGTTGTTGTTGTTACTGCTGATGTTGTTGTTGTTGTTGTTGTACTGTTGTTATCGTTGCTGTTTTTGTTGTTGTTGTTGTTGTTGTTGTTGTTGCTGTTGCCGCTGTTGTTGTTGTTGATGGTTGTTGTTGTTACTGCTTCTGTTGTCATTAATTGTTATTACTGTTGCTGTTGTTGTTGTTTTTGTAGTTGTTGTTGTTGCTGCTGCTGTTGCTGTTGTTGTTGGTTGTTGTCGTTACTGCTGTTGTTGCAGCTGTTGTTATTGTTGCTGTTGCTGTTGTTGTTTTTGTTGTTGTTGCTGCTATTGTTGTTGTTGGTGGTTGTTGTTATTACCTTTGCTGTTGTTGTTGTTGTTGTTGTTGGTTGTTGTTGCTGTTGCCGCTGTTGTTGCTGTTGGTTGTACGTTGTTGTTGTTGTTGTTGTTGCTGCTGCTGTTGTTGTTGCTACTGTTGTTGCTGTTGTAGAAAACCTCACCCAGCTTTCCCGTCTTCATACAACCATTTCTCAGGGAAGTTGGTTCTCAATTGCGCATCCTCTAAAAGGGACTTTAGGAGTTCTGGATGCTGGTCAAGGTCGAGCCCATTCAACAGATTATTTGGAACGTCAACATCGCCAGACCTTTGTCGGACATCTAGATAAAATACAAACGATGATTGTTAGTCATTGCTTGACGTTTACCGACCAAATCTCAATAGTTGACAAGTTTATTCATGATCTACAACATATAGACCTTAAAATTGACCACGGGTTGTGGCTATATAAAGTACTTTGTTTTTGGCATACCTTATATAGCCAAGATTTGTAGCTATAAAGTACGCCGAATCTCGACATACCTTGTAGCCACAGTTAAGCACAATTTGGCTACATGCAGTATGCTGTAGTTTTATGGGCGGCACGGACTTGAGCTGTATCTTATTAAAGTCAGATTTGTAAGTTTAACTATTGTATAAAAACTAAGAACCAGCTACAACAAAAATATCACAAAGGAAAAATGTTTATTGGAAATATCGCTGCCCATTCTAATCTACTTTTATCCTATCCATGCCTTCTTAATAACAGATCTCCCTTTGACAAAAAGTTGAAGTGTACTGCTACTAAGCTTAATTAGCCAAGAAAAAACTGTACACAAAAGATGACAATAATTCTAATACTGTCATCAATTCCTTCCTTAAAGCCCTCCCTTGCATTTTATGTCTAGCGTGTGCTTATATTCCTTACCCATTTCAAATCTCTTGTAACAGCATTTATAGAATTGTATCACGCAGTCATCACGTGGGTGAAATGACGACGATTCATTTGAGACTGAAAAGTTCATCGCACGAGCTTGACATGTTCCTGCGTCTACTTTTTCACCAAGTTGACAACATTGCGGATCAACAACGACGGCTGAACATATGGGAAGAAAAGAGTATGTATGACATGAAAAGCTGTGTACGATCAACAGGCTTTCCTTGACAAGTTTACTTTCTCGTATGTACAGTTAATAAGCTTTCCTTGACAAGTTTACTTTCTTGTGTGTACAGTCAACAAGATTGTCGAACTGATTTTACCATCGTACCTGCATTTCTGCGTTTTCTCCTTGCATTGGCAGCGCATGAATAATCTAACGTGAAAATAAAAATTATTTTGTTACCAAAGGAAATGTTCGTTCACATAGCAAGCTGTTTCGAACCTCCCAAAGTTAATGATAGATATTTCTGCAAGGCCTCGATTTATACAATACAGCTTGTACGTAATACTAACTTTACACAATGGATAAATTCTCTCGTCTCTGTATTTAACAATATGTTTCTTGCTACCTTGTTACAGCAATTAATTGTCGGTGTACCTCAGCTTTCACTGCAATAACTCACCTGGACGGGTATCGGTTTTTAGATTATTGATGGTTGTCATCACAGCAAGACCACCTCGCTTGAAAAGAAATAAAATAATGAATATCTATGGTGTACTGCAAAGGTCCATACTGGGTCCACACATTTACCAAAAACTTACGTTTAGTACATCCTTATTATTTTCGCCTGCTCCTGTACCACATCCGAGGTCGTGAGATTTCATTCTCTTATATACCTGAACCAAAAGCAAAAACGTACAATAAAGCTATGTTAGCGAAATGCCCAACCTTATTTGCGCAGTGAGAATATATTGAAGTGTTACTACAGGAGGAAACCTAAACTAAACTAACTTTATTTATACTGGATAGCTCTATCATTTCTAAACTGTTCTTCCTATAGGGGTCCAGTAAGAATCATCTCTTATTGATCCAGTGTTACTACAGGAGGAAACCTAAACTAACTTTATTTATACTGGATAGCTCTATCATTTTTAAACTGTCCTTCCTATAGGGGTCCAGTAAGAATCATCTCTTATTGATCCAGTGTTACTACAGGAGGAAACCTAAATTAAACTAACTTTATTTATACTAGATGGTTCTATCGTTTCTAAACTGTTCTTCCTTAAAGGTCCAGTAAAGATCGTCTCTCATTCATCTAGTGTTACTCCAGCCGGAAACCTAAACTAAACTAAATTAACTTTACTTATACTGAATAGCTTTATCAGTTCTAAACTGTTCTTCCTCAGAGGCGCAGTAAAGATCATCTCTCATTGATTCTATGTAACTACAGGAGGAAACCTAAACTCAACTAACTTTATTTATACTGGATAGCTCTATGAGTTCTAAATTGTTCTTCCTAGAAGTCCAGTAAAGATCGTCTCTTATTGATCCAGTCTAACTACAGGAGAAAACCTAAAATAAACTAACAATATTTATACTGGATGGCTCTATCATCTCTAAACTGTTCTCCTTAGAGGTTCAGTAAGGCTCGTTTCGTGTTCATCCAGTGTTACCACAGAAGGAAACCTAAACTAAATTAAAAATGCACATTACCTCATCACTGGTGAGATGTTTATCATTTCTCAATAAATACACACTCTGGTCAACGGCCAATATACCAACTTTAGAATGTGGACTGCTTTGTATCTCAATCATGTGAGAATCTCCCGGTGCTTTTTGAGGGTGCTGATTGCCAAGAAATGAGACCTGAAAATATAATAACATAGCTAGAGAAAATAAACAGTATGGTATATACAAAACTCTATTTATACTGAGGATAGTTCAATCAATTTTAAAATGTTCTTCCCAGTTAGAGGTCTAGTACAAAATAAAACTTTCAGTGTAATATTATGTAGGGGAAAACTAAAATATATTTTAATATTAACTTTATTGCTCTTTTTATGCACATTTAACCAAAATGTAATCACGTAAAAATTGCACAACTTGTCAACAAAATGTGTTCGCAACAGTCTTGTAACAAGCTTGCCAACAAGTTGTAACAATGCTGTTACTTTATCAAGTAGCTACAAGGTTGTCACTTGCAACTTGTTGACGAATTGTTGGAACAACTTGTAACAAGTCGGTTAATCTCAACAACCTTATATAGCGAAGTGAAGTGAAAGGCTATATTTACCGAGGGTAAACACGTGACAGTAAGAAACTGATAAACTTGTGGCCCTCAAAATTTACAAAATTTAAGATATTAGAACACAGTTCCCATTTAAAGTTAAAGTTATTAAAACACAACCCTAACGCTGCAACCTTTGTGGTTGCACGCACCTGGTTGGGCAATTCTTCTTCAACTTCCAAGATGGCGCTATCGACAACCAGTTCGTTGTTCACACGATAATAAGCGACAAATCGTGCATGGGGCGACATTGCTGAGGTCACAAGTATTCTGATGGTTGTCAAAACACCAAGATTTCTAGCGATTGTTCCTTGACTGATAATACGCCCGTTTGCGACGACCTAGGGAAACACATATTATATGAGGCAAAAATATCATTTGAAATTACCCCTGAAAATCTGTCGCAAGGCTTTCAAAATTATTCAGTGTCTGTTGTGAAAAAAAGGACGGCTGAAAGAATAATTTTACAAACATTGACAGGTTTTGACAACATTTCCTGTGTGGTGAATTTGCCCAGTTTGTGGCTTCATTAATATAGTAACAATAACAACGATTTATTGGAAATACATTCCCAGAATGGCTCTAATTCGCTTACCAAAATATACAAATACAATTAAATTAATATATACAAATTCTACAAACTATGTACAAATACCACTGCAATATAGCTGTTAAGTGTTCGACAAAACAAAGTACATATAAAATTACAATTGTATTACAAGTTAAAACAAACTAATTATAATTATTATAATAATTTAATAATTTATTAGCTTATATTGCGCATTATCAACCATACAATTTTCAAAT